CGCCCCGGCCGCGGGCCCCCCGCAGGCGGGGCGGGGGCCGCCATCCCCCTCTGCACACGTCAGAGCCTCAGAGCATTCTGGAATCAGGAGGGAACTTGGCCGAGGCGGCTTCGCGCCCCACTCGCCCCCTCCTGTGGGCTCGGGGCAGCCACCACGCACAGAGGCCGAGATCACGGGCCACTGGCGGGGAGGGGCGGCCGGCACCCCGTGGCTTCCCGGGGTCTCCAGTGGCGTGTGGTGTCACCGAGCTGCCCCAGGCAGTGAGGAGACAGAGCAGGGCCAGGGTGGGGGCTCCCCAAGAGGCCCCATGAGGGGCAGGCCACAGAGACCCTCCCTGGGCCTCAGCCAGCCTGGTGGTGCCCCCACGCCGGGCCAGTCTGTGGGCGCCAGGGGCGGAGGGGAGACGGGCCAGTGGGGAGCCAGGGTCGGCCGTGCCTGCCCCCGCCCCCTCCACACCCACCGGGGCCTGGCTGACACCCACACATCCCCACGGCTTGGGCCCCGCCATCGCCGGGGGGCCCCAGGAGCCTGGCCCTGGTGGCACGTGGCCTCAGCATGGTGGCCCTAAAAGGCCCAGGGGGCCCCCGGCCGGCCCCAAGGGCCCCGGGGGAGGCCCAGGACGGAGCTGCTGCTCTCCAGCCCTGCTTCTGGCCGGAGTGAGCGGTGCGGTGAGCGTGGGCCTGGCTCCGGCGGCTGACCCTCAGCGAGGCCCCGGCCGGGCAGTGCCGGCCCCGCGCTCGGGCCCCTGGCCTGACCCCTCTGGCCTGGGTACGGCCCTCAGCCCCCCTCGCTGAAGACCCGCAACGTGAGCAGCCCGCGGCCCGGACCGGGTGTGCACGTGCGGCCGTGGCCGCCCGGGGCCGTGTCCAGCCGCTGTGGCAAGCGAGGGCCCACAGCCCTCGCCTACACTAGCGCACACGTGAGCGTGCGGGGCGCAGGCCCCTGAGCCGGGGAGTGGGGGCTTGGGTGCTCGCAGGCGACGCCAGCAGGCGGACACCTGCTTCCACCGGCTGTTGCCCACACACTGGCCCGGTGCTAGGCACTGTCCACAGGGCACTGTCCACACGCCCACACTCACCTCTGCCCTGCCCCAGCGGTGCCCAGGGGTCTGGGGCTGCTCCCCGTGTCTCGGGCTGAGGTTAGGTCACTGACTGGCCCCAGAGCTGTCACGCCCGTTCGCAGGAGGCCCCGGCGTCCGCTGGGACAGGCCGCCCCGGCGCTCTACCCGGTCCTCGAGTCACACAGGAGACCTGCAGGCTTGGGGCTGCTGGGGTGCCACAGTTGGGCAGCCCGTGGGCACCCAGGGCCCTGTCACCGCCACCGAGCACCCCTTCCAAGCGGCTCTCGGGGAGTGTCCGAGTGCCAGGCCCCGCTCATGCGGGCAGTCCCCCGGGGCGGGGAAGGCCTCTGCCGGAGTGTCTCCCACTGCGGCTGAATTCAGAGCCCAGCGGCGGGCGTGTGGCCGGCCAGTGCCCCGGAGGCTGTGCCGAGACACGCTGGGCCTCGCTGTCCGGAGAGATGGGCGGCCGGCCGGAGCCCCTGGGCCCGGGCCGCTCCTCCCTCGTCCCCAGCCCTGACCCTTGGGGCAGCCGACCCCAGGCGGCTGACAAGGCTGCTCCTTGCTGAGGACTCGGGGGCCCGGGCACTCCAACATGGACAGTGGGGCGCCCGGGCAGGGGCCTGTCCCTGACCCTTCAAGGGCTGGTGGGCAGCTTCACAGCCAGGCCCCTCTGCCTTGCTGCTGCCCGGCACGCTGGCCGGTGGGCTGGCCCGCTGCCCCGTCACCCCCGCATGCTCGAGCGCCTGGGTGCGTGGCCATAAGGGTGGGCCCGGAGGTGAGTTGGGGGGCCGGACCGAGGCTGTGGGGGGCTGCTGACAAAAACAACAGCCGAACACGCACAGGCTGCAGAGGAGGGTGACTGGGGGGCTGCTGGACGCCTACTGAAGTCCCAGCCTGGCTCGGCCAGGGCGTGGGGGAGCCGACAGAGGGACTGAGATCTGCTGGGACGGGTCCCTGTCGCCCGTCGCCGAGCCACGTCCAGCTGCACCCCACGTGCACCCCACACGTGCACACAGGGCCAGGCTCCGGCTGGGGTCCGTGGTGCCCTCTGCCCGGGCCCTGAGGTGGGCCCCCCAGAAGCAGGGGTCAGGGGTTCAGGTCTGCGGGCCTGTGCAGCCCCTGCCCGGTGCCCCTTGCGGGAGCCCAGGGCCAGGACGCCCCTGCCTCCCGCAGCCCTGAGGCGCCCTCTGGTGGCGGCCGGACTCGGGTCCCAGCGGCCGCAGCCGGGCCCTCTCCCAGCTCTGGGCGAGGGAGCCCCTGGGGCCCCCTGGGAAGGGGCTCACGCGGGGCAGCGGCTCTGTCCTCAGTGCCCCTGCGCCCTCCCGGAGGACCCCCTTCCGGATCCGGGCACCCCGGCCCCACCTGCCCTGAGGCGGGAACAGGGCCCACGCTGGCCTGGCCATGCGGTGACCACTGACGGGCCGCGTCCTGGCGGCAGGGCCCTTAAGGGAAGGGGCCGTCGGCGTGGTCCCCGCTCGGCCGTTCCTAGGCTGCGCCCACAGGAGTGGCAGCAAGGGGGACCGGCCAGCGGGCGCCTCGGATCTGGCGCCTGGAGCCACGGGCACCGGGCAGTAAGACGGGCCAGCTAGCCCCAGGGCTGCGGCTGTGGCCAAGTGCGGCCTATGGGCCAGGCCAAGGCGCCCAGGGCTGGGGCGTGGCCCCCCGGGCGCCGC